GCGCGTCGCGGCGCGTCGCGGAGTTGAACGCTCAACAAAGTTGTCGCAAGTGTCGGCCGGCTGGCCGGGCGGGCCTCTTCAAAGCACTGCCGCCCGCAGCACCAGCCGCACTTCCGCGAAAAAAGGTCAAAAATAAACAAATAATTTTAATTTTTCAAAGTATACGCAAGTGATACGAAGGTGGTTTTTCTTCGTATTACGAAGGTTTTTCTTTGTGTAACTTACAATGAAAAAGCTAAAAAGATTCGTATTACGAAGGAATATTGCTTCGCATGCTTGCGCCGAATCCACTGTTACATACGAATAATTATTCGTATGTAACGTAGGCCAAATTCAATTGTAAGACATTTATTTAGAGTGCAGAATCATCTGATTTTGGACCCCCGATGTTGCAGTGGAAGTAGGTGGAGCCGATCCACCCCCGTGGCCGGGTGGGTACGTGCCACGTGGGGCATGGCGTGGCGGGGCGGGGCGTGGCGGGGCGTGGCGGGGTGTGGCGGGGCGTGGCGGTTCACACACCCATCACATACGCCACACACGGCGATGGGCGTCGCCGGGGTGTCGCGGTCCTCACATTCCAGGCGCTCTCACCTCCTCGACGACGAGGAGGACGAGGAGGCCGAGGACGGCGTCGCGTTCCTGAACCACATGGACCAGATATAATGAGGGGCCGGCGTTTTCGTCGCTCTATCTCTCTCCCACCTACACCGGACGCCCCGTGAGTGCGAGAGAGACAGAGCGACGAAAACGACTCTCAGTCTGCTCGGGCACGCTGATGCACGCTGATGACGGGCCTAGGTCGAGTTTTGGCGCGCCATGCGATGCCATGCGATGCCATGCACGTCCGGAGCTGAGGCCTAGTCGCTGCAGCGCAAAGCCGTTCGGAACGCGTTGCCAGTGCACTCACAATCACAAAAATAATAAAATCTAACTAAAAACATAAGAAATAATTTTTTGAAACAAGTTAGGTGAGGTTCCTAAAAATTCTGGCGAACGGATCTCTTGGAAATGCGAAGCTGGATTGCGAGAGGGTTGTGGATTGCACGCGACCCAAACGCGTCGCACGGCTCGGGGCGGGGCGGGGCGGGGCGGGGGGGGCGCATGTCGGCCGATGCAAGAAATGCAATTTAAAAATTGTGTCACTCCACGGGCCATAGGCAGGGGCAATGGCGCGGCACGGGGCGCGCGTGTGGTCCCGCAGCCCGTCCCACAGGGTGTCGGAGGGTCCTGGAGGAAGCTAGTTATCCAGCCACCCCTCGCATTCTCTGGGCGGGGAGGAAAAAACGGGAAGGGACTTGTTAGAAGTGGGGCGGGGCGTCGTCCGCACTGCAGTGCACTGCTGCCAACTCAACGCAACCGCCTATACTCTGACCAGAAAACGAAGAGCCCTGAGTTCCCGCGGTTTAGGTCATCTGCCGCCTTGGCTAGCATTGCAGGTAGCCCTCGACCGCGAGAACCCAGGGCTCTTCGTTTTCTGGTCAGAGTATAGAAACCTCGGCTTTCCGTAAGTTCGGACTTTCGATTCGACTGACTTTGTGCACTGTGCATTCGCGCCACTGCAAGGCTGCAGCGCCGCGCCCCGGCCCGCCATCCGCGCCATAACCCTGTCACTGCACCGAGTGTCGAGTTTTCACTTGCGTCGGGGTGGGTGGGCTGCCTGGTGGGCTCGGTGCCGAGTGAGCAGTGCTGCCACCACTCGAGGGTCGCCCCCGCTCGGCCGACTCGGCCACGCGACACCGGAACAGCGCCGCGCCGTTGGCAACCCTACATTTCCTTCCGGAGGAACAAGATCCCCGCCTGCATGCATGGGGTTGGCAACCCTAGGGCCGCCGTGCACTGCGGGACTGCCTACCCGAAGCATCGCAGGCGGCTGAATGGTTTCTGTGTCGCCACGAGAAATGCACAGTGAAAATCGTATCAAATTTTCCCGTGATTTGGTTCGACTGTTTGGACTGAGTGACGCGAAAGCTGTTTCGTACCACTTGATCGCGGCGATGTGGGGGTCATAAAGGCCAGCTCGGTGGCGGGGCGGGGCGGCTCGCGTGATACCCGTGAAATACGCTCCCGTGTGCTGGACGCCCTGGCGGCCCCGGCGTGGCGTGCCGGTGGCGTGGCGGGGCGTGGCGCATCAGATTTGTCGCGCCAAACTGGACGCGCGCGTCGATCCGCCGCGCAGTAAAGGGGCTGGGTTCGAATACCGGCCGGGGGGCTTTTTCGCACCAGAGAAAGAGAGAGAGAGAGAGAGAGAGAGAGAGAGAGAGAGAGAGAGAGAGAGAGAGAGAGAGAGAGAGAGAGAGAGGGGCCCCGCCGTACCCCCCTGCTGCCGCCACGGTCGGTCAACCGTGCGCAATAGCAGGCAGTAAACTCTAAATACACCGGGCGGCGGCGGGGCGGAAGTTCAAAGGCTGCGCGGCGTGGGGGCCTGCAGGGCCTGCACTGCAAGGCTTGCGACTCAGTGCTACCAACCTTACCCATCGGCGAGACACCAGCGCGCCGAGCTGGCAAGAGCAATCGGGGTTGCAACAATTTGCGCGGGGTGTCAGTCATTGTCATTTCTAGGTCGGAAGACTCTTGGGTCGAGTTTGAGGGGCTCGAAAAACCGAGGGTGTCGTTTGAGTCCATCTGTCGCCTTTTGCCAACCGCCCGGCGGATTTTATGTCAAATTGTTTTACTTCAGACGAAAGGTTCCCCCGTGGAACCTAACCATGCCAGCTGCAGTCAGCTGCGTAAATTAGTGTGTTTGCGTATCTGTTTTTTTTGTTGCTTTTTTCCTCAGTAATTTTTGTTGCTCTTGGAAAGGTTAGGATTGTGCAATGAAAATTAGTCAGAGTAGATATAATGGCCGTTTTTATTTACAGCAGGATTTCTTTCACATAAACGTAAGGGAGTTCTTTGGTTTCAATGACATTATCTCCTGTTGATGAATCATTAATGCATAATTAAGTGATAATGATACATAGAAAGAGCTTACACTTTCTCAAAACGTACGATGAATTCACATGATCTTTTGTCAGTCACTGCCATTTGTGTCCTTGAACAAAAAACAAGAACATAAACCATGTTGTCCCTAAAATTAAAGGGTATATCACAAAATAACAATCATTCACATAACGTAGCGTTCAAATTGCTCTCAGAAATAAAATTTAGGACTAAAATTATTAGTTTTGACGTGTTGTGCGTCCATCCATCACGCGACCCTCCATGCCTGACTCTTCCTCAATTTTTTTTAAAGTTGATAACTTTTAACAGTTTAGTTTAAGGGGGTTCTCCTTGCATTGCAGAAGCTTCCTTAGCTACCTAACATACATGAAATACATGACACAAATTTTACTACAAATCACCGTTGAGGATCGGCAAGTCCGGCACTCGTCACACGAAGGGGATTCACTTGCCTTTGAACTTTCTGCGATGTTGGCACCTCCAAATACATTGGAGCGAAACATAAACCCAGCTCAATAATAAATTATTTGACATATAAAAGTTACAATAAATGCTTTTGACTATCGCAATCTCATCATTGCGTGTGAAGAGATGATTAAAATTCAAACGTCTTACGCCATGCTACAAGGAATATTCACGCTGAGTGTCAATTTAACATGACAGCCACCCTACATCGATACATATTGCACGAAAAAGTACTCATAATTTACATCAAGATCAGTTCCATTCCACACAACTAGTAGGAAGACTTAAACTTTACTAACCACTCCATAACTTAAAGTTTTTCTCTCCCAAAAAGAGTAATTTTTATTTTTCAACATCCATTTATTCTTTCTAGACTATCTTACACAGCTTCAGGTGTTTCTAGTCAGGCTGTATCCTAGCTTAAACCCTCTACCAATTTCAAGGTGAGTTACAAAACAGTGTAACATCAATGCGATTGGCGAAAACTTGTTCAAACTGTAATACTGCAATGTGTTATGTACACAATAACTTTCCTATGATTCACATAATACTTTACATAAGCTTATCCGTTGATACTTTCTTCGCTGTACATATTATACAAGGGTTATTCAAGCAGCTCGTTCACCCCTATGCAGCATAATGTTTGTGTGCGAACATTGCTTGGATCTATACAATGAAATAAATAGAATGCGTTTTAAGAAGCTGTACAACACGGATCTCAAAGAAATGCACTTAACAAAAAAGGGAAACGAGACACTACTGTCTAAAAACCAAACAATGTAACAAAGGAGAAATTAAAAAAAGAAAAGCCCACCTAACAAACCACCTGCACTAACACGATCACAATGAAAACGCATTGCACTTCAGCAATGGATAATAATAATAGTAATAATAATAATCAATAATAATGATAAAATATTAAACAATAATAAGAATCCATCTTGTAAGCATGAGAAATCCGACCGGACAAGCATTTTCACAGTCTCTCTGGGAAAAGATCAATGAAACGTACTTATGTTATTTTAAACAGGGGACCCCTGCGCTTTGCTTTTGCTCGTGATATGTAGGAAACAGGCTTGCATCAGCCACTTCTCACACTTACAAAATACCAACATATAACAAGGCTTTCTGACAAAAATATCTTAAAGCATCACGCGCAAGACCCAACCCGAGGCGGGTCTCTTAAAGGTAACTGGGCCGAATTGGTTTCGGACCGGACTTCCCCGGAGGCGCGAGGGCCTTCGGCGGGGAAGGCGCCGGCCGTTGAAAACATTTTTGCAGCTCGCCGAGATTTGTTTGAGTCTATTTGGAACTGGAGGCGACGCGGCTGCCGCCCCGGCGGCCGTGCACGGCGTGGCGCGCGCTCCGTTTTCTTTGGCAACTGACCGATCCGCGTCCGCCGCGGCCCGGAGGCCCGGAGGCCCGGACCGGGACAGGCGAGGCGGCCGGTCCGGCGGGCCCCGAGGCAGTGTGGCACACAGTGTGGCACACAGTGTGCAATAGGAACTAGACTGGAGTCCGCGAAGCAGGCGTTCGGGCGCACGCCTTGGAATGCTCACATATCACAGCACACACACACACACACTCACACACACTTAAGTCCTGGGGTCGTGCGCCGAGTGCGCCGACACGGCGGGCGGCGACAGCGGCTTGGGGGCGGGCGCGCCGGGGCCGTAGGGGAAGCGCTGCGCGTGCTGCGGCATGGGGCTCATGCCGGGGAAGATGGGCCTGGGCAGGCGCAGGTCGCGCAGCTCGCGGAGCTCGAGGGGCGGCGGCGCGCCGGACGACGGCGACGGCGAGCTGCACGCCGACGTGGTGGTGGTGGGCGGCGGCGACACTTGCGGCCGCGGCGCGTGCGCGTTCGCGTGCGCGGGCGAGGGCGCGTGGTTGTGCGGCGGCGGCGGGCCCAGCAGCCCCGCCGGCAGCCCGGGCATGCCCTGCCCCGACCACCCCACGCTGCCCGACGCGCCCGCCGCGCTGGCCCACAGGTGCGGCAGCGGCAGCGGCATGCGGCCGTACAGCTGCGGCGTGCCGCTCAGCAGCAGCGCGTGCAGCTCGGCCGGCGAGTAGGGCGCGCCGCCGGGGACGCCGCCCGCGCGGCCCCACATCTGCAGCTGCGTGCGCGCCTTCTCCATCAGCGAGGCCGAGAACAGCGACGCGTTGTTGTTCTCCGCGTCCAGCTCCGACAGCAGCCGCATGGGCGCGCGCAGGAAGTGCTGGTCCATGAACATGGCGTCCATCGGGTCCCTGCGAGCAGAAGGAAACGGGGATTAGCGACGCAGCCCACGGACTTGCAGTGCCCCAGCTCCAGAAAGGAAATTGGCAATTCTCGAGGAGTGGCCGGGATTGGGGCGACGAGCCGCCCCGCCAGGGCTGGCAGCCCGGCAGCCCGGCACGCCACTGCCAAGGTGTCCGTCCTGGAGTCCCCGGCGGTCCCCGGGGACGGCGCTGCCCGGCGCTGCCCTGGCGGCCGCGGCGGACACTAATCGTGACATCTTGAGTGTCGAGGGAGCGGGGGCAGGCCCTGCAGGACTCGACTCACACAATCAATTTACTGATGAGCACAGGGGCGCCCGACCTGTCCTTGTAAGGTGCCTGTTGTTGCGTCCTGCTTGTCGGGCCTGCCCAGCGTCTCGTCGCTCTGCCTCTCTCGCACCGCCACGGCACGCCCCACGAGAGCGACAGAGACAGAGGGCTGCACAGTGGGGCAGAAGGCCGGTGGAAGCGGCCAAAACTCTGGACGCGTTTGGAGCTCCAGAGTCGCTAAATGGTGCTAGAATTGAACTTGTGACCCCACCAATGGATTCCTCTTCGAACGAGGAATCCATTGGTGGGGTCACACGTTCGGTTCGAGTCCTGCTTAGCGACTCTGGAGCTCAAAACGCGTGTAGAGTTTCGGGCGCCTCCACCGGTCTTCTGGCCCACTGTGGGCCGGCCGGGCGGCGCCTCGCCGTCTGCGTCGGCCCGTCGGCGTCCCCGGGGCCCCCGAGGCCGCCGAGCCATCCCCGAAATTAAGCCACTCGGAGACTCTGGGCGCGACGCAGGGCGACGCGTCGGAGATGTCGCCCCGGTGCTACAAGCTACCCGTGACCCTCGCGACGCCCCGCGACGCCCGGCGACACGGAAGACGATTAAAAAACGACGAAGCGAAATTAGCAAACAATGCCACGGCGCGGCAACACGCAAGCGTCGTGTCAAGTCAAACGGCGCGCAGACACCGGCGACACGCTCGCACCCTCGGGAACGTTTTAATTATTCCTTATCAATTTGAAACGCGAGACGTGCGCGCGAATGATTTACGCTCATGAATGCACGAATGAAAAGGGGGTTGCACACAACTCAGCGAATTCTAAGTCACCTGCCCCGGCCGCGTTAATACGGCTAAACGGGCCCGGTGGAGGCAGTGGCGGTAGCAGCGGCGCGGAGGCACAGAAAAGAAAGGATTGATTTATTATAATAACTTCCTTTCCTTTCCACGGTTCTCTCGCCCAGCTGACTTTTGCCCTGCTGCCGTTAGTCCAGGCCGACTGACTGAAATGTCGCCATGCATATTCAGGAGCGGGCCGAGACGGTGCTGCCGCCCGCCGCCGCGGCCGCCGCGGCAACTACAGTAGGCGTAAAAACAACTGCAGCAGCATGCGCCCCCTGATAACCACCGACACCGCAAATTGGGTCGGAACTATTTCTCTCTCTCTCTCTCTCTCTCTCTCTCTCTCTCTCTCTCTCTCTCTCTCTCTCTCTCTCTCTCTCTCTCTCTCTCACTGCGGCTCAGAGATTCCGGCCACGCGCGCAGACGGAGAGTAAACGAAATTCTCACCGGCCTGGCTAGGGTGGTGCCTTAAGAGCCGGACCGCCGGGAGGTCGGAGGTTCAAGTACCGCGCGCGGCCGAATAACAAGAAAAGGAAAGGAAAATGATGGAAAAAAATATGAATGGGTTATTTTTACACCTCCGAGGGAAAAGTCACCTGGTTGACACCGAAGCAGGTAACAAAACACCGTGACGGGCGCGGTGGCGCGGCGGGGGCAGGCCGTCGTTATCTAGTGAAACATCGGGGAAATCAAGCTGGCCGCCCCGCCCCGCCCCGCCTTCTGACATTTCCTTGCATTCCGGCAGCCCGGTGGATGGTCAGTGGCTCTTCACGGTTACATCAGGTCATTTCCTACACGCTATTCGGGAGCAGGGCGTGGCGTGGCCTGGCGTGGCGCTCGAGCCCTCCGAAGGGCTGCTTCTGTCAGTAAAACGAGATCTTTATTAGCGGCCCACTTCCTGCCCTTCACGCGCCTCCCGGCCCTCCCGGCCCTCCAGCGGACCGAGAGTCGTCTTCGTCGCTCTGTCTCTCTCGCACCCATAGGGGCGCCCCACGAGTGCGAGTGAGACAGAGCGACGAAAACGACTCCCTGGCCCTTCTCCACGCAGCGCGCCCACACGCCTTTTAACGTCACGTCAACGATCCCCGCGTCTGCCTGGAACACTCCGTCAGAGTCTCCTCCCTTTTTCGCTGTTTTTCGTCATGTCCTATTTTTAACGGGGTTCGCGACTCCCACTACGCCGCGGGCGGATGCGCTAGAGTGGCCACTCGCCTGCGCGCCGCCGCGCCGCTGTTCGTTAGGTTGCCACCTACCTAACATTCCCCTTATCAGGGGCGCGCCGCCGAGCGGCCGAGCCCGGCGAAGCGGGCGAGGCAGGCGAAGCCATTCTCCATTATCTCAATTAGGCCGCGGCAACGCGTTAGCACGCCAAAGGAAGAGACTTCGGCGAGCTTTTTCCCTTTTTTCCTCCTCCACCTTCAGGCTGCCATAGCCACTTCCACGTGGCGCTGCCAGAAGACCTCGCGCGCCGCCGCAGCAAAAAGAAAAAAATCACGAAAAAAATATTTGGCACATCCCAGTATTTGAACCCGCGAACCACTCGTGCCACGCGCGGCAATGTGACCAGAAGCAGACGTTTAGTCCCCTCGCGGGCGAGAGAGAGAGAGAGAGAGAGAGAGAGAGAGAGAGAGAGAGAGAGAGAGAGAGAGAGAGAGAGAGAGAGAGACGAGCGACCGCGCTCCGGCAGCTACAAGCCTTTTTGTGACTGAAACAGTTGTCGTCGATCGAGGAAGCAGATAAGACGAATTAGTCGCCGAGGTGGTTGCCGACCACCTCGCTCGCTCGCTCGGCCGCACCACCGCGCCGCCGCGCCGCCACACGAAGGGAATGTCATTCCACAAATTTGTCCGGTCGGGGAATTTCCATAAATTAGTTTGTCCGCTTGCCTGGCATTGCCGCCTGAAGGACTTGACTGACCCAATTGTCTTCGAATTACGTCAATTATCCATCCCGTCCTTCTTCCCTTTCCCCGCGCGTGCCCCCTTATAACCCTTCGCGGCACCGAACCGGTTGCTGCATTGTCCGCCTCGGCCGCGCGGCCTCCGGGAGCCCTGGCTGGCCCTTCCGAGGTAGCAGTGTGTCCGTCCGACGAATACACATGACACCTTAGTGGCCCGGCGGCGGACTCATTCCGAGGGTCGCTTTCGTCGCTCTGTCTCTCTCGCACTCATGGGGCGCCCCGCGAGGGTGCGAGAGAGGCAGAGCGACGAAAACGACTCTCGGAATCAGTCTGCCCTCCGCGGCCCCGCCGCGCCTCGTGCGTCCGTGGGGCCAACTAATTTACGTCTTCAATACCAAACCACTAACTCGCCCCTGCAGGGCCTGCCTGCCTCGCCGAAGGAGCGCGCCGCCGCGCCGCCATGCCGCCGCCGCGGCTACCGGCGGGGAACAAGATTTACCTCCGTCTGTCCGACTGTCCGGTCCGTCTGTCTGTCTGTCTGTCTGTCTGTCCGCCTCTCTGCCGCGCATCTCTCCACGGTTCTAATCGCAGGATATTAAATTCGATTAGAGAGGTGTCGGCGCGGCCCGCACTGTTAATTGCCCAACCACACACACACACACACACGCGCGCGCGCGCGCGCGCGCACACACACACACACACACACACACACACACACACACACACACGACGGACTGGACGCTTCGTACTGCTTGACCCCCGGCGTAGCGCCGTGCGCGTAGGCAACCGCCAACGCCGCGCGCACCACTGTTCGGCGGGGCGGCCCGTCTGCCAGGCGCTCTGCCGACGCCGCCGGACGCTCCTGCTCTCTCTCTCTCTCTCTCTCTCTCTCTCTCTCTCTCTCTCTCTCTCTGTGTGTGTGTGTGTGTGTGACGGTAGCGGCACGGCGGTCTGCAGACACGCCACATTAGTGGGCTGACAGCTGCGGTATGGCGTGGATACTCTGGTTCAACTGCCTCCAGTAACACCGGCGAGCCTACTTCTTGAGGCCCCCCCCCCACACACACGGGTACCTGATGGCAGGCTGCATACTCCGAGACATTATGCCGTCCGAAAAGTCTCTCTCTCTCTCTCTCTCTCTCTCTCTCTCTCTCTCTCTCTCTCTCTCTCTCTCTCTCTCTCTCTCTCTCTCTCTCCGCCGCTTATAGCTCATTGCGCCAGTAAGGAGTACGTGCGTGTGTAAAGTGTGAGAGTGGATCAAGAAATAAAATTCAGACAAACGCTATTGTGACTCCAACACACACGAGCGCATAAAATGCGGTGCGAGGGCTTTGCGATATGCGCGATGCGGCACGATGCGGTCGGTCAGGTCGACAAGGCCTTCATCTTGCCGCCTTGCAGCGCTGCTGCCGCCGCGCGGCTCCCGCGGCTACCGCCAGACCGCGCTGTCCGGCCTGTCCGTGCTGTCAGCCCCGAGGATGCCGGCGGCGGCGTCGGCCTCTCCCGGACGCCCCGGGCTGGCTGCCCCGGCAGGGCTGCCCCGGCAGACTGATTCCGAGAGTCGTTTTCGTCGCTCTGTCTCTCTCGCACCCATACGGGATACCCGAAGAGTGCGAGAGAGACGGGTCGACCCCCGGCCCCTGCCCCCGCGGCCCCGGGGCCGCTGAGCGAAGAGCGCGAAGACGGCGCGAATAAGCATGAAATTTGTGTTCGCGCTTCGGCAGGCTTCGCCACGGCCCTACCCGCCTCACGCCGCCAGACTGATTCCGAGAGCCGTCGCTCCGTCTCTCTCGCACCCACACGGGACGCCCCACGAGTGCGAGAGAGACAGCGAGCGGCGGTGCGCGCCAGCCCAGCAGGTCACGTTCGGCCGTAGCTCACTCACAGTGTGCTCGCACCGACGCCGAAACCGAGGCAGACCGCGCGCCGACGCCGACCGACAGGGAATGCCGAGAGTTCGTGAAAAACGCGGAAAAGCGCCGTTTTTGGCGGGAAAATTCGGCGGCGCGCGGGAAAGCCTGCCGGCCAGTCAGGCAGCCAGCCAGGCCGGAAAGGGCGGGAAACGCCAACCGCACAAAGAAGAAGGAGAAACCAAACACGTACCCGGCGACACGGCCGGTCCGTTACAGAGTCATTATTTTGTTGGTATGTTGCTAATGTCTCTGGCGGAGTGGGGTACCCGGGCCGGCTGTCCTTCTCCTTGCGCGTAAAGGAGTAATGCGAGGCAGCACACACACACACACACACACACACACACACACACACACACACACACACACACACGTGCGCGCACGGTGCGAAAATCAGCGCGACCTCACAAAAAGGATAAGCAATATGTGTGAGCTTGGAGAGAGGTCTTTGGTCATGCCCCCCCCCCCTGCTCATCATGCAGCCGACACCGCACCGCCGGGCCTCTCGGCCGCCCCCGCCCACACCGAGTTCATCAAAGTCGCACGGCGGGTACGCCCCCGCGGCACGCCGCACCGCACCGCGCAACGAACGTACGTACGGCCAGAGAAATAAAGATCGGCGACGACCTCAGCGAGCGCGGCCAGCCAGAGGCCACAGCCGCCACGCACAGTGGGCCAGAAGGCCGGTGGAAGCGGCCAAAACTCTGGACGCGTTTTGAGCTCCAGAGTCGCTAAATGGGACTCGAACCGAACGTGTGACCCCACCAATGGATTCCTCGTTCGGAGAGCAATCCATCGATGGGGTCACACGTTGGGTCCGAGCCCCATTTAGCGACTCTGGAGCTCAAAACGCGTCCAGAGTTTTGGCCGCCTCCACCGGTCTTCTGGCCCACTGTGCCACGCCGAGGCAAACGGCGGAGAAAGAAAAATACTTCCACTGGACAGTCAGCCCGCGTGCGCATTTTGAAAAACCGTTCGAACGGAGGGAATGCCGATAGAAACGACGACAGTGTGCGACACCATCGACTTGCATCCGTCGACAGAGTCCGATTCCGAGAGTCGTCGCTCTGTCTCCCTCGCGCTCATGGGGCGTCCCGTGCAGGTGCGAGAGAGACAGAGCGACGAAAGCGACTCTCGGGATCAGTCTGCTGCTCCGGGGAGTCTGCTGCTCGCAGGCCGGGCAGGCCGAGAGGCAGGCCGCCGGATCGGCCGGGCCGGGCTGGGCCGGCAGAGCCTGGAGAGCAGGAGGCAGCGGCCGGGGCGGCCAAGGCTATGATTTGACCGAACCGCTCACTTATTAACGTTTGCCGCTGCCCTGTCATTAACTCGCCGCTTCCTCCCCCTTCTCCTCCCCCCCTCCCCTTCCCCCCTCGCGGGGCTCCCACCGCCGTATCGAAATAAATTATAGACATCCTATCATTCACCATGACAGTATTTAGACACCTCCGTTCGTTGCGCCACTCCACGCAGGTTCAAACACTTTACGGGCCGCGGCCGCTGCATCCGCCACCGCCGCGGCCCATCCCCTTGTGTCAGCAAAATCGCCGCCGGCGCGTCGCGAAGGGCCGAGGCCGGAGCGACGCGGCCGCGGACGGGCAGTCGCAGCCCAACCGGGATCCAGGCAAGGTGAGCCAAGGGTATGGGCCGCGGCGTGTGTGAGAACCGCAGTGTCGTGTGTAATCCCGTAACGCGGCACCGCGCACTGCTATTGGCAGTGACGGATGCAAAGCATTGCAAAGCATGCCGCGCCAATTAGCAGCAGGCCGCTATTCGCACCACAGCCTCCCTGCCGTGCCAATAATCATAGACTGCTTTGCGCCGGCAGACTGATTCCGAGAGTCGTTTTCGTCGCTCTGTCTCTCATTCGCACTCAGGGGGCGCCCCGTGCAGGTGCGGGAGAGACAGAGCGACGAAAACGACAGTCTGGACTGCCACCTCTCCGGCTGCTTCCTCTTCCCGCATTCTCACCTGTCGAAGTCCGTGAGTCTAGACGAGTCCCTGAAGCCCTTGGCGAACGGGTTGCTGTCGATTTTCAGCTTGGTGATCTGTGAAAATAAGAAAATGACCGTCATTAATGAAAAAGGCGAAACACGTAACGACAGCGGCGCTGTAAAACGGGCGAGCGCGCCGCTGCCGCTCACGCCACCTGGCGGCCAATGAATGAAGCCGCCACACCATTGATAAAAGCCGCCACGCACTTACAGTGTGGAGCCGCGGGGCGTGGCGGGGCGTGGCCGCGCCTCACGCCATCGAAAGGCGGGCAGCCCGCGCTTGTCGTGACTTTACCCCCCCCCCCCCTCTTTCCCCTGTCTCTCTTCCTGCTTACCCCGTCAGACATCTGTTAACGTAACATTGACGTGTGTGTTTGAGGACCCATCATGCCACCCAGGAACAGCACACACGGTCTCTCTCTCTCTCTCTCTCTCTCTCTCTCTCTCTCTCTCTCTCTCTCTCTCTCTCTCTCTCTCTCTCTCCGCGCCCCGTTTCGGCGCGGTCCACGCTTGTCGACGGCCCCTGCTCCCTACCGTCTGACCTGTCAACTCCGTGACAGCCGCGAGCGAAGCCCCCCCCCCCCTTTTCCCCCCAAACCCTCGCCACGGGGGGCCAACTTGTGCTTCCCTTCGCTGGC